AATAGTTTTATATTCTGCTTTCAATGTAAGCAACTCTTTCTCAGCTTTTTCTAACTCGTTCTAAAATTTAAAACATGTTTAATTACGACATTTATACATTTTTTAATTATTAATTGACTCAAAAATGTACGCTTAGGATTAGAKTAAGGATATTTGTAGGTTTGAATATTTTTTATGGTTAATTATAATTATATATAACACAAAATATAATTCACATCGTTTATGATGAAAAACTAAATTTTTTTTATCAATTTTGATATTTTAGTGAATGTTCAAAAAGCTCCAAGGCTCCTCAGACAGTCATAAGAGTCTAAAGAGGCTATCAAAAATTGAAAGTTGGTGTAAAATTTGTGTCAAACATGCTGAGRAGTCCTCATCTACGTAGGTGGTTTATCCCATCTYGAATGTGCGGRAACGACAGGTGAGAGARAATATAATAGATGGAAGAGTAATGGATGTTGGAGTGTGTGAATCTAGGTAAGAGACAAGTATAAAGTGAGAATAGGCACGTGGAATGTCGGAACGTTGACAGGCAGAAGTAGAGAATTAGCAGAAGTGTTAAAGAGGAGGAAAGTTAATATGTGTTGTGTTCATGAAACTAAGTGGAAAGGAGAGAAAGCAAAATAAATATGGTAGGAGTATAAGATAATATATTCAAGTAGGACTAGTACTAAAAATAGTGTTGACGAAGAAATGAAAATTAATGTAGTCAACATAGGGAGGAAAAGCTTTCTTCATTACTTAACTAATGAGAATAAAAATAAATGTATGAATAAATACATCAACATTAAATAACTATTTTAAGGCGTTTTTTAAAAGAAACATAATATAATTTTGCTCTCCTGATTCAATTTAGTAAATTAAAATATCAAGTAATTGAAAAATAACATTWAAAAAATTTGTCATACCTTCATATTTTGTACTTTATTAGCTTGAGCGATTATCTGATTGATTAAATTATTGACATTTGTGTTTGTATTTTTCTGCAATAAGACCAAAATTACAATTATTCTAAAATGAGTTTAATAACTTATYTTTAAGCAAGAAATCAATGAATAGTTTTAAAAAAACGTCACGACATGAACATTAATAAAATATTATTGTAAATCAAATGAAAAAATAAGTTTATAAGGTGACATTAGTCATTAAAACAGCACTAGACATCCAAGTGAACATAGTTTTATAAGCTACAAGTAAAAGGTATACAATTCATAAAAAAAACTTATGAGTTTTAAAAAATCACAAATAAATCAAATACATAAATTTGGATGACAAAAATTTTTTTTTTAAACTAACAAAATTCAGTTCATGCATATAATGCCCATCATGTAAATCAAAAATAACATTTTATCGATGATTACAAACTATTATATGCAAACATTTTTATTTCGATATATATCAGTATGTTTAATTATAATTACCTTGATATTATTTGTGGCGATTGTTAAAGGAACAGTGGTTATTGGATTAACTGTTTTTGTGTGACCATCAGGAATGTTAAACAACACTATTGGTGTTTCCTTCCCAGTATGTATGCTTTAAATAATAATATAATATTTTTCTTTAATAAAGCCAACAAAAATTACATTAATTAATTTTTACCTGTATGGCTGGTACGTTGAATCACAAATAAAATAGCCTCTACGTTGCAACTGAATCACTTCACCTTTTTTTAAGTCTTTCAATTCTGAATCACCTAACATTTGTAGTTCCCAACGACTATTTTCTATATTTAAGTATTGCTTGAAATCTTCATCTTTGGCTAATACTGCTTTACTTATTAAATGATCAAAATAAACACAAACGACTGGTATCAGAATAGGCAAAACTTGGTCAGAATCTGAATAATCAGTTTTTGGTAGCCACGTAACTTTCACTGTAGATTTGAAATCTGTGTTTTCAAGGTCAGAGACTGCATAAATTCTCTCTATTTTATTATCATTTTGGTTTCTAAAGGAG